CCATCACACAACCAGCACACAACCATCACACAACCAGCACACAACCAACACACAACCAGCACACAACCAGCACACAACCAGCACACAACCAGCACACAACCAGCACACAACCATCGCACAACCACCACACAACCAGCACACAACCAGCACACAACCAGCACACAACAAGCACACAACCATCGCACAACCAGCACACAACCAGCACACAACCAGCACACAACCAGCACACAACCAGCACACAACCATCACACAACCAGCACACAACCAGCACACAACCAGCACACAACCAGCACACAACCATCACACAACCAGTACACAACCAGCACACAACCAGCACAAAACCAGCACACAACCACCACACAACCAGCACACAACCAGCACACAACCATCACACAACCATCACACAACCATCACACAACTATCACACAACCAGCACACAACCATGACACAACCAGCACACAACCAGCACACAACCATCACACAACCAGCACACAACCAGCACACAACCAGCACACAACCAGCACACAACCAGCACACAACCAGCACACAACCAGCACACAACCAGCACACAACCAGCACACAACCATCGCACAACCAGCACACAACCAGCACACAACCACCACACAACCAGCACACAACCAGCACACAACCATCACACAACCAGCACACAACCAGCACACAACCAGCACACAACCAGCACACAACCACCACACAACCACCACACAACCATCACACAACCAGCACACAACCAGCACACAACCATCACACAACCAGCACACAACCACCACACAACCACCACACAACCAGCACACAACCATCACACAACCAGCACACAACCAGCACACAACCAGCACACAACCATCACACAACCAGCACACAACCAGCACACAACCAGCACACAACCAGCACACAACCAGCACACAACCAGCACACAACCATCACACAACCAGCACACAACCAGCACACAACCATCACACAACCAGCACACAACCAGCACACAACCAGCACACAACCAGCACACAACCATCACACAAGCAGCACACAACCATCACACAACCATCACACAACCATCACACAACCAGCATACAACCAGCACACAACCATCACACAACCAGCACACAACCATCACACAACCAGCACACAACCATCACACAACCAGCACAGAACCACCACACAACCACCACACAACCAGCACACAACCAGCACACAACCATCACACAACCAGCACACAACCAGCACACAACCATCACACAACCAGCACACAACCAGCACACAACCAGCACACTACCAGCACACAACCACCACACAACCATCACACAACCAGCACACAACCACCACACAACCATCACACAACCAGCACACAACCAGCACACAACCATCATACAACCAGCACACAACCAGCACACAACCACCACACAACCAGCACACAACCATCACACAACCAGCACACAACCAGCACACAACCATCACACAACCATCACACAACCATCACACAACCATCACACAACCAGCACACAGCCAGCACACAACCATCACACAACCAGCACACAACCAGCACACAACCAGCACACAACCAGCACACAACCATCACACAACCAGCACACAACCAGCACACAACCAGCACACTACCAGCACACAACTTCCACACAACCATCACACAACCAGCACACAACCACCACACAACCATCACACAACCAGCACACAACCAGCACACAACCAGCACACCACCAGCACACAACCAGCACACAACCAGCACACAACCATCGCACAACCACCACACAACCAGCACACAACCAGCACACAACCAGCACACAACAAGCACACAACCATCGCACAACCAGCACACAACCACCACACAACCATCATACAACCAGCACACAACCAGCACACAACCACCACACAACCAGCACACAACCATCACACAACCAGCACACAACCAGCACACAACCATCACACAACCATCACACAACCATCACACAACTATCACACAACCAGCACACAGCCAGCACACAACCATCACACAACCAGCACACAACCAGCACACAACCAGCACACAACCAGCACACAACCAGCACACAACCAGCACACAACCAGCACACCACCAGCACACAACCAGCACACAACCAGCACACAACCAGCACACAACCAGCACACAACCAGCACACAACCAGCACACAACCAGCACACCACCAGCACACAACCAGCACACAACCAGCACACAACCATCGCACAACCACCACACAACCAGCACACAACCAGCACACAACCAGCACACAACAAGCACACAACCATCGCACAACCAGCACACAACCAGCACACAACCACCACACAACCAGCACACAACCAGCACACAACCATCACACAACCAGCACACAACCAGCACACAACCAGCACACAACCAGCACACAACCATCACACAACCAGTACACAACCAGCACACAACCAGCACAAAACCAGCACACAACCAGCACACAACCAGCACACAACCAGCACACAACCATCACACAACCATCACACAACCATCACACAACTATCACACAACCAGCACACAACCATGACACAACCAGCACACAACCAGCACACAACCATCACACAACCAGCACACAACCAGCACACAACCAGCACACAACCAGCACACAACCAGCACACAACCAGCACACAACCAGCACACAACCAGCACACAACCAGCACACAACCATCGCACAACCACCACACAACCAGCACACAACCACCACACAACCAGCACACAACCAGCACACAACCATCACACAACCAGCACACAACCAGCACACAACCAGCACACAACCAGCACACAACCACCACACAACCACCACACAACCATCACACAACCAGCACACAACCAGCACACAACCATCACACAACCAGCACACAACCACCACACAACCACCACACAACCAGCACACAACCATCACACAACCAGCACACAACCAGCACTCAACCAGCACACAACCATCACACAACCAGCACACAACCAGCACACAACCAGCACACAACCAGCACACAACCAGCACACAACCAGCACACAACCATCACACAACCAGCACACAACCAGCACACAACCATCACACAACCAGCACACAACCAGCACACAACCAGCACACAACCAGCACACAACCATCACACAAGCAGCACACAACCATCACACAACCATCACACAACCATCACACAACCAGCATACAACCAGCACACAACCATCACACAACCAGCACACAACCATCACACAACCAGCACACAACCATCACACACCAGCACACAACCATCACAACCAGCACACAACCATCACACAACCAGCACACAACCAGCACACAACCATCACACAACCAGCACACAACCAGCACACAACCAGCACACTACCAGCACACAACCACCACACAACCATCACACAACCAGCACACAACCACCACACAACCATCACACAACCAGCACACAACCAGCACACAACCATCATACAACCAGCACACAACCAGCACACAACCACCACACAACCAGCACACAACCATCACACAACCAGCACACAACCAGCACACAACCATCACACAACCATCACACAACCATCACACAACCATCACACAACCAGCACACAGCCAGCACACAACCATCACACAACCAGCACACAACCAGCACACAACCAGCACACAACCAGCACACAACCATCACACAACCAGCACACAACCAGCACACAACCAGCACACTACCAGCACACAACCACCACACAACCATCACACAACCAGCACACAACCACCACACAACCATCACACAACCAGCACACAACCAGCACACAACCATCATACAACCAGCACACAACCAGCACACAACCACCACACAACCAGCACACAACCATCACACAACCAGCACACAACCAGCACACAACCATCACACAACCATCACACAACCATCACACAACCATCACACAACCAGCACACAGCCAGCACACAACCATCACACAACCAGCACACAACCAGCACACAACCAGCACACAACCAGCACACAACCAGCTCAAGCGCTGGAATGCATCATGTGTCGTGTTGGGCACATCCCACTTTCTCGTGGAACCAATCCTCCCTGCTCTCTTCTCTGCATCCGCATTCTCTCATCGCCTCCTCGCACACGCCCAACTATTGCTACGTCTCCCCGTTTTCATCACGCCGTGCCGTCGTCTCGTCTCCTCATCTCATTCCCTCAAACCCCAGGTGATGCGCTCACTGGACGACTGTGCGCTGCTGGGCAGCCTCATGCGCCTCGCCAGGGCGCTGCTGCTCAACCCGCACCTCCACATGGAGCCATACGTACGTGAGTCATGGAGCCATACGTACGTGAGTCATGCAGCCATACGTACGTGAGTCATGGAGCCATACGTACGTGAGTCATGGAGCCATACGCACTTGAGTCATGCAGCCAGACGTACGTGAGTCACGGAGCCATACGTGAGTCACGGAGCCATACGTGAGTCAGTGCGCGCACATGAACCTCCATGCTCCATGGTTGCATGCACTTGTTTCTGTGGTGGCAATTCTCTCCCTTCCCTCCCTCGCTCCACCTTCCCCCCCCTCCCCCCCCCCTCCCTCCGAAACTACCAGCTGCACCAGCTGATGCCGGCCATGGTGACGTGTGTGGTGGCCAAGCGTCTGGGCGAGCGGCAGCACCACGCCCACTGGCACCTACGGGCCTTCACTGCCACGCTGCTCGCGCTCATCTGCCACAGGTCACCTCACACCTCCACCATGTGCCACCACCACTCCCATCACCCGGGCCTTTATGTGTTCTCCCCCGCCTTTCTCTTATTTCCTTATTGGCGCTCGTTGATTGTTCTAATGCATCGACTGTATGCTTGTCTTCCAGGTTCGGCCGAGCCTACGCGTCGTTGCAGCCTCGGTTGACGCGCACCTTGCTGCACACCTTGCTGGACCCCAAGCGCTCGCTGCCTCAACACTTCGGCGCCATCCGCGCTCTCACTGTGCTGGGGCCCACCGTGGTGCGCCATGCCTGCTCGTATCATGCCACATGTGACGTCCCTCCAGACATGCTTCTGCACTGCCTGGGCTTCCTCTCTCCCACTCTCTGCTGTTGATGCTGTTTTGCACTCTCCTTATCCTGCCCTCCTCACTCGCCCCTCCCTGCTCGCCGCCCATCACCACCGTGTCATCATGCCAATGAGCCCCCCCTACCCGCTGCACCGCCTGCAGGTGCGAGTGCTGCTGCTGCCGCACCTACCACTGTACGTGCGGCTGCTGCAGGCGCACATGGGCGTGCCAGGGCTCTGCTCCGCGCCACCCACCCCCGCCAAGCAGCAAGACGCCTGGCGGGTCTGGGGCGCCGTGCAGGTGAGCGGGGAAGGGGGCCGTGCAGGTTTGCTGTGGGCAGTGAGAGGTGAGTGCTGTGGGGGCTGTTGCATGTTTAGTCGCACACCCTCTCAGAGATCTCGCCCCAGTTGACACAGTCAACTTCTATTTCTGCTTTCCTTCTCACCAAGCCTCAGTCTTCCCCGCATGTCCCTCATGCCTGCCTCTCCCCCCTGACCACCTTTCTCTCCCCCCAGCAAGCAGCATCAGTGGCGGTGGCGCCTCACCTGCGCCTCTACCACCCGGCGCTGCTGCCCCGCCTGCTGGAGGGCGGGGAGGTGGAGGGGGCAGCACAGGGTGGAGAGGGCGGTGGTGAAGGCGGCACACATGCAAGCGGAGCAGCAGGGGCAGGGGGCGCAGCTGGGATGGGTGGAGGGGCATGGGGGAGGATGAAGCGTGTTGGAGGGGGGGTGAGATTCGCTGCCAGCCCGCGAGTAACTGTACCCGCCGTGCGCACCGTGCCCCCACTGCCGCCGCCGCTGCCCTATGCGGCGGCGGGCAGGGAGGCATCGCTGCTGCTCTTCTTCCCGGCGCTGCAGCGGGGGCAGCAGCGGGGGGTCGGGCTGGCGGGGCTGGACGGCTTCCACATGGGGCTGGGCCAGGGGGGTTATGACGATGACGACAGCAGCGAGTGGGAGGCGGGTGGGGCGGGGCGGCTGTGGGAGGTGTCGGAGCGCGTGGGGCAGGTGGTGGTGAGCAGTGGGAATGGCGGCGGGCGCGACTACGAAGTGGACGACGCTCCCACCAAGGCCGCTCTCGCAGCCCTGGCTGGGGTGCGCGGGGGTGCTGACACGCAAGGGCAGGGCGATGTGGGGAGAAGTGAAAGTGGGGAGAATGTGGGTTTGCTGGTTGAGGGGTTGGTTTACTTGTTAGGGGATGCAATGATCCCTCTTGTACCCACCGCACCCTTGTTCATGCATCTGTAAGTGCATCGCATCTCATTGAGGCCTGTTCACTTTTCGTCAATGCAAAAATACTCAGGCGGTAATACAGGTTTGTGGCAGCATTATGAGTCACATGCTTCCCAGTTCACCACATGCCATCCTTCCTCCAGAGGGATCTGCTGTGGCCCATGCACTCGCCCGCACACACCTGCGGCGCACAGCAGTGTACTCTCCAGGGCTTTCTTTCCATGGGCGTCGTTCATTGCTACCAAGTGTCACTGGAGGAGTACCTCCTCAGGTTCATGCAACATCAGCTCAGCACCGTACCACGCCTTAACCTATCCAGCTTCAAAGCTGATGCAACGCACGGCAGGGTGCATCAGAGCTCATCATGCGCGGGGTGGATGTCCCTCAGCATGGCCTCCAGCTGCTGCTCCAACTCCTGCTCCCAGGGGAGGGGGGGGAGTGTTGCAGGGTGAGGGCGTGTTGGAACAAGTGAGGGGGTGTCGGAAGAAGTGAGGGGGTGTCGGAAGAAGTGAGGGTGTGTCGGAAGAAGTGAGGGTGTGTGAGGGGAGAGAAGGGTTGAGGAGATGGGGGGTGTGTGAGGGAAGATGCAGGGTTTGTGAGAGGAGATGTGGGAGTGTAAGAGGGGTCAATAATTATTGCATTGGCAGTGCCAATCACATGGTTGCAGCTGGCATTATCGTTAATCATCACAATAAGCAAGGCAAGAGTCAAGAGACGACAAATTATGCCCCTGAAATGCAACAGGGAAAAACAGGAGAGCAATGGACGAGGGGAGTGGAGTGGAGAACAGCTAAGACTGGTATGATTGCAGAACAAGGCCGAACACAGGTGGTATGCCAAGGTGGTATGCCAAGGTGGTATGCCAAGGTGGTATGCCAAGCAAGCAGGAGGAGAATGAAGGCTTAGAAGATCTATCACTCTTGTTGGATCAGGAGGAGGGCACGTGGAGGTGGGCGGCACACCTTGGCTTTTTCTTCCGTGCACACTGACGGCGTGGTCATGGTGGCGGCATACCTGATGGCACCACGGGGGGGATGGGGAACAGATGGAATGGTGATGGTGGTGGTGAGATGCGAGGGAGGCACGATGAGATAGCGGGTATGGTGTGGATAGAAAGCTGTGGCATGGCTTAACACGGGGTGGCATGGAAGAGCATAGATGACATGGGATGGCACGGTGGTGCGTGATATCAGGTACCTTGCTCTCGACACTCCATATCTAAGACGTGCTGAATGAAGTTTGGGCTTGAGCTGACTTGCGAGGTTACCGGCTTCGCAAATGCCCCAATGGGAACAGACAAAACATTCGACCTATGGTTTGAATGAAAGTTCGGAAAAACACACACTCGTTTCCCATGCACTCATTGTGTGGCTCCAATCATGCAAGTGCCCATGGCATGGAGTAGGTTCCGGACGTGTGTGAGGAGAGGGCGAGTTGGTACGCGGAGAACGTGAGGGAGGCATCCAAGAAAAGTGACGGAGATAGTGGAAGGAACCGAGCAGAGAGAGATTTGAGTAACGGGAAGCGAGTGAAGGGAAGTGAGTGAAGGGAAGTGAGTGAAGGGAAGTGAGTGAAGGGAAGTGAGTGAAGGGAAGTGAGTGAAGGGAAGTGAGTGAAGGGAAGCGAGTGAAGGGAAGTGGATGGAGAGTGAGAGCGGGCAGTGGGAGAAGGGAGGGCGAGAGGGGCGACTGACTCGCAGCGGTTGGGCTCGTCCACCGCCAGCACCGCCACATCCGCCCCGCACTTGAACCGCACCTGCCATGCCATGGCCACGCGCCCCGCACGGGGGAGAGACGAGGGGAGAGAGAGAGGGCGCGCGGGTAGTGAGAGAGGTGTGTGGGTGGTGGAGGGAGAGCAGGTGCGAGTGTTGAGGGTGGAGCGAGCATGATTAGGGAGTGATGAATTTCTGCTCACCTTGATGGTCACAGTATCACAATGAAGCTCAATCACTCTGACATAATCACCTTGATACTCCTGGCTGGTCCGTTCCAGCAGTGCTCACCTTGATGCTCCTGGCTGGTCCGTTCCAGCAGTGCTCACCTTGATGCTCCTGGCTGGTCCGTTCCAGCAGTGCTCACCTTGATGCTCCTGGCTGGTCCGTTCCAGCAGTGCTCACCTTGATGCTCCTGGCTGGTCCGTTCCAGCAGTGCTCACCTTGATGCTCCTGGCTGGTCCGTTCCAGCAGTGCTCACCTTGATGCTCCTGGCTGGTCCGTTCCAGCAGTGCTCGCCATCCTCAAACGCCATCACCGTGTGCTCCTCCTCAAACCGCTTGAAGTGCCTGCGCGCCCGCCCCGCCACACACACACACGGTCAGGGGGGGCCATGGAATGGAACGTAGCAGTCTTACACGTTTGGTCAGTTCCCCAACATCAGTTCCCTCTTGATTCTTTCCTACCTCCCCTCATGCCCCAACACGATTGCACCACCACCACGCAATGATGCCGTCACGCCATCATACGACAGTGCTGTCACAGTGATCATGCCGTCATGCAATGATGCCGTCACACTGACTCACCCAAGAGTCGTCTCGGAGTGCCCTTCCTTCTGCACCGCCTTCTTGTACGGGCAGATCTCATACGTGTACCTGCTCCGCCCAGCCGCCCCACGCAGGACACACGGGTGGAAAGAAGCAAGTGCATGGTTACTAGTGCATGGTTACCAGTGCGCACCAACAAACCCGTGCAGGCGGGGGATGCGGGACGGTCCCAAGCAAAAAGGAAAGTGAACCGCAAATAATGCAGGCAAAAGGGAAGACCGGCATGCAAGAGAAGCATGATAGAGAGGCTTGGCAAGGAGGCATGCAAGCGACTCCCTTAAAAGAGGGAAATCCGTTGCACACAGGGTGAACAACAGGGCATGAAGCAACCGAGGTGGGTAAGCTCGGCAAGTAACGAGAAAGTGTGTGCAGCGCTTTGGGGGGGCGAAAGGGGCCTCACTGGTTGGCGTTGAATGAGAAGCAGCGGTCAACGAGGTTGGAGAACTCCCCGTGTGGCCCTGCGAGGGGGCACATGGGGATGGGTGTACGTGAATGGGACGAGGGGGGTGTGAAGGGGATGAAAGAGCAAAGATTGGTGCTGAGGAGCAAGGAGGTTGAAGAGTGCGAGGAGTAGAGGCACGTCGTGTCCCCTCTGTTCCACTTCCTGAACCATCAGCGCCTTCGTTGCTGCCAAGTAAGAGGACGCAGAAACAGCAAAAGCAAGGAGCCTTCGTTGCTCCAAGGAGCAGAAAGCGGGGGGAGGGGGAAAAGCGTTGTGTCAGCAGTGCACAGTGCATGGAGGTGAGGTGTCAGGTTGCACAGGAAACGAAAGCACTTCCCCCCACACCTCTCACACCCGGTCACACGCGTCACAACTGACCATAGTCGCGCTTGAGCTTGTCCCTCAGCACCTTGGCGCGGCTCCTCGCCTTCCTCAGCTGCTCCTCCACCCCCCTGTGCTCCTCCCGAGCTGCCTCCACGCCTGATATATGGTGCAGGCAAGGGCGTGCTCACCGCACGCAAGCATGCACCCATGCGTGCGCGCACACACACACACACACACACACACACACAGACACACACGCACACACAGACACACACGCACACACACACACACACACGCACACACACACACACACACACACATGCACACACACAAACATGCACGCACGCATACACTCTCGCACGCACGCACACACGCACGCACGCACACACGCACGCACGCACACATGGACGCACGCACGCACGCACACACACACACACGCGCACGCACGCACGCACACACATGCATGAGGAGTAAAAGGACAGAGTCAACAGAAGGCGAGAGGATGAAGACTTGGAAGCATCAACCAACAGCACACGTGCTGCACCCTCCACGCTACTCATACACTCTACGATAAAACGATGCTTCTGTGTCGTGAGTAGAAGGCCACGTGCAAGCCATGCTGTGGCATGTGCTATGTGGCAACGCCATGATGCCGTGCTGGCAGTGCGCGAGGCAGCACTCACGAGAGGCGTTGAGGGTGAGCAGTGGCGTGGGGGTGGCGAGGGAGTAGAGGCGCGAACACACGGCCATGGGCCAGTGGAGGGTGCGAGCCAACCAGACACTGACAGGTGTCACGGCTGGATGAGAGGCACAGCGGAATGGGAGACAAGAACGTTGAGAGAAAATGGTCAGAAAGCAGGCGCATGCACGTGAAAGCAGGCGCATGCACGTGAAAGCAGGCGCATGCACGTGAAAGCAGGCGCATGCACGTGAAAGCAGGCGCATGCACGTGAAAGCAGGCGCATGCACGTGAAAGCAGGCGCATGCACGTGAAAGCAGGCGCATGCACGTGAAAGCAGGCGCATGCACGTGAAAGCAGGCGCATGCACGTGAAAGCAGGCGCATGCACGTGAAAGCAGGCGCATGCACGTGAAAGCAGGCGCATGCACGTGAAAGCAGGAGAGGGAAGTGTTGGAAAGAGGCTGCTCATTATCCATCCAATAGCCCCACAATCTGGATGGATTCTCCTAGAGTTTTTGCTGATTGCACCTTATCCACCTGATCCCCTTCCCACATTGCAGCCATATTCCGTGAAGAAGCACGTGAGTGCATGTGCATGCATACTTTTCTCGAATCAGCCCTTCATCGCCCTCACGCTATCTCGTCTAGCCTACAGAATCATCTACCATCTCATTGCCTTGGTGTATCGTGTCATCTCTCACACGCCATGTCGTCTAAACCCCCGTGTCATCTCACCCGCCGTGTCATCTCACCCGCCGTATCATCTCACCCGCCGTGTCATCTCACCTGGCGGGTCATCTGGGTTGAACTCCTCCAGCTGCTTCAACTCCTCCACACTCACCTCGCCCTCCTCCCCATCCCCCTCCTCCACTCCTCTTCCATCTACCCCTGCCCCTCCCTTGCCCTCATCCGCCTCCCCTCCCCCCGCGCCCATCCCTTGTTCCAAATCCGCTGCCTCCTCCTCCCCCTCACTCTCACCATCCCCATCCGCGTCCTCCTCATCATCCTTGCTGTAGTCCTCATCCTCGTTATCAGCATCCTCCTTGTACTCATCGTCGTCATTGCCACTGTAGTCATGGTCATCATCATGATCATGATCACCGCTCTGCACCGCATCCGGATCAGCATACCCCAAATCAGGGGGTGGCAACCCCTCGTCCACCACACCTTGCTCTGCCGCATGCCCACTGTGCTCCTCGTGCTGCTCTCCTCCCTCCCCCCCGCCAGTCCATCGGGAGGCAATCCGCCGCCCCATCTCCTCTTTAGACAGACCTGACAAATCCTCGCTTCCACCTTCCCCCTCGCCCCCTGCTGCTCCCTCCTCTCCTTGCCCCTTCTCCTCACTTCCTGTGCCCGTCACTGCACTCGCCACACCATCGACACCATCCCCAGCTGCCCCATCAACACCACCAGCCTCAGCGTCCCCACCATTCCACAGCTCCTCCGCCTCTGCTGGCACCTTCCCGTCCCAACTAACCGCACTCCCCCCACCACCACCACCATCAGCACTGCCGCCGTCACCATGAGCAGCGGCGGTCCTCACCGGGCGGGTGTGCGCCACAAGGGCGTCCCTGGCGCGCTGCTCCCTCTCCAGCCTCGCCCTCCACGCCTTCTCCCTCCCCTCCTGCCGCTCCCACTCCTCCTTGCGCGCTGCACTCTCACATGGGTGCATGCACACAGCAGACACGCACACACGCCCGCATGCAGGCACATATGCACTCACGCACGCACGCACACAGGCACACACGCACACGTGTACACATGCACGCACACTCACATGCGCACATACGCACACGATGCACACACGCATGCACATGTGCACGCAATAACACACGGAGCAACAGCGGAGAGGTGTTGTGGGGGGCTGTTACAGATGTGTGCAGCAGTAGCATATTGACGATGAGAGTGAGTGGTATTCAATGAGGAATGAATGGGTGTGAGGGTGAATGAGTGAGTGTGTGTGAGTAGAAGACAGCAAAGAGCACAGGAGGAGGAGAAAGACTGGGACCATAACTTGAAAGACGAGGGTTGGGGTGGAGGGGAGAGCGACGAATGTGGAGGGCAGGGAAGTGGGAAGACAAAGGCAACGAGCAGGAGGAAAAGAGAGGGCATGCGAGGAGCAAAACAGGTAAGCAGAAAAGAGAGAGGTGCCAGTGTCATGACAATCATAGTAGCCAAACAGACAGAACTGAACTCGTTCAAAAACAAGTTCATTTGAGACGAATCTACAAGGTGGCGATTCTGAGTCCATTGCAGGTGATGAGCAAACCAAGTCTCAGCTGGGCACATCCAGCTAGCAGAGGCGATTGTACTCCTATGCAGGTTGCTAGCTAGCTGGCTGTTATGGCACATGCAAGTAAGTCATTAATGGCAGTGGCTGGTCTGCTTTCTCTCCCCCATTGGCCGCTGCGCATTCTAGTGGACGACACCGTGGGGCTGAGCAGCAGGGCAGCGGCAGCGGCAGCGGCAGCGGCAGCAGGCACGGGCGATGGAAGCATTGGCAGAGCTGGTGGCCCGGCAGCAGCACGGTCGTCACTGCAGCAGCTTAGGGCGCCGCCGCCCAGAGGGGTGGTGGGGGTGGCGCCTGCGGGTAGGCGTGAGGGCGGCAAGGCAGGGGCAGAGCGAGGCCATGGTGCGGTGGCACAGGCGCAGGCAGGCGCAGGGGGGGGCGAGCAGCAGCGCACGCAGGGGGCGGTGGCAGAGGAGGAGGGCGAGCAGGGCGAGGAAGAGCAGCAATGGCGGCAGAGAGGCCGAGGCGAGCAGCGAGTGCATGTGCTCTGACATGCCATGCCCGCAAGGTGGGGGGGGTAGTGGCATGGTGGCGGTGCCGAGTCGGGCAGCAGGACAGCGAGTGGGCGGCAGCAGGATGGGCAAGCGGGCGGCAGGTCGGGCGGCAGATGGAGGCGATGCAGTGAGGCAGGCACGTTGCGTAGCCAACGGCGAGGAAGAGATACGCACACAAGGACACACGGACAGGGGGTTGGGTTGGGGTGCAGGATGGGGAGGAGAAAGAGGTGGGGCAGGAGTGGACAAGAGGGCAGGCAGGTAGAATGAGGTCAAGCACGGTGAGGTGGTCGGGGCACGGTGAGGTGGTCGGGGCACGCATGCGTGTGATGGGTGACCTGTGAGAGAGCAACGACCATTCACCTTTGAGCGCCTTCTCACCTTTGAGCGCCTTCTCACTAGGGATGAGCATAGGGACCCGGCGGGTCGGGTCGACCCGACCCGACCCGGGTTTTGACCCGGGTCAGGTCAGGAGTTCTGAACCACTGACCCGGCCGGGTCGGGTCGGGTCGGGTTTTGACCCGATTATGGACTCGACCCGGTTTCGGGTACCGCGCCCTATCTCGGGTTGGGTATCTGGCCCGACCCGAGGGTTTCCTCTCGACAATGTTATCCAGATCGCAATCGCGCTTGCTTGTTTTCCCAGCAACTAGCATTTCGATCTGGATTAAGTTAGGTTAACTAGCTAGTGACGCCAGCAGCCACCCACCAAGCAACATTGGCGTACTAATCTACCCTAGAACCCACGATAATGTTTAGTTAGTACTCAGCCAATCGCACTTCGCACTTCGCGCCATCCATCCTAGGGTTTCTTTTAAATCCGAAATTTACAGGTCGCGCTCCCACCCTAGGCGCGCGCATTGCAGGCCCGCGTTTTAGGGCATCTCGGCGCGCCGTGCAGGCTCAGGTCGCTAGACCCGCGCCCCTACACATTATTAAGGAGAACCTCTAACCCTGCCTATGGGAGTCGGCCCGACCCGACCCGACCCGGCCCCGACCCGACCCGACCCGGGGGCGGGTCAAGCCTGACCCGGCACCCGATACCCGGGTCGGGCCAGAGATCTCAAAAGTTCCGACCCGACCCGACCCGACCCAAAACCCGGCTGGCCCGCCAAAGTCGGGTCGGGTCGGGTCGGGTCGGGTCATTTGATCATACCTAGAACTTCTCACCTTTGAGCGCCTTCTCACCTTTGAGCGCCTTCTCACCTTTGAGCGCCTTCTCCTGCTCCACCAGGTGTGCGCGCCGCTCCTCCAGGTGCGTGACCTCGCGCTCCCACTTGTCCCTCAGCGCCACGTGCCCCACCACCGCCTTGCCTCGCAGCTTCACGCCCTCCCTCACCGCCGCCACGTCAGCTGCCAGCTGGCTGCGCGTCTCGGCGCCCATCTGGACACACGTGTTGTTGCAGCCCGCCCCGCTGGCGTACTCGTCCGACCCGTCACAGCAGTCTGATGGGCGCGGGGGAGGGAGGGGGGGCGGAGGGCGAGAGAGAGGGATGGGGGGGCGAGGCCACAGCATTGGTGGAGCGTGAGGTGAGGCATCTGGGAGAGGAGAGGCATGCTCACGCAGCCTCATGCTCTTGACGCATGCCCCAACACACATCCCAGCACATGCCCCTCGAGACTGCACTTAACCCACAGGGCATCCAGCCAAGCCACAAAGGGCATCACTTCACAGCGGATGGATGAATGGAGACATGACAGTGCACTGACCGCAGATGCACAAGAGCATGACAGTGCACTGACCGCAGATGCACAAGAGCATGACAGTGCACTGACCGCAGATGCACAAGAGCATGACAGTGCACTGACCGCAGATGCACAAGAGCATGACAGTGCACTGACCGCAGATGCACAAGAGCATGACAGTGCACTGACCGCAGATGCACAAGAGCATGACAGTGCACTGACCGCAGATGCACAAGAGCATGACAGTGCACTGACCGCAGATGCACAAGAGCATGACAGTGCACTGACCGCAGATGCACAAGAGCATGACAGTGCACTGACCGCAGATGCACAAGAGCATGACAGTGCACTGACCGCAGATGCACAAGAGCATGACAGTGCACTGACCGCAGATGCACAAGAGCATGACAGTGCACTGACCGCAGATGCACAAGAGCATGACAGTGCACTGACCGCAGATGCACAAGAGCATGACAGTGCACTGACCGCAGATGCCGTCGTTGACTCGCGAGGAGAAGAGCGTGAGTGGCATGTGGCCGCGGTTGGCGCAGTAGAAGCGCGCCAGCGCGCATGCTGACGTGCCTGCAGGGGGACCAAGGGTGCGGTGGAGAGAGGGCAGCGTGGAGAGGGGTGGACGGGGTTGAAGCGGGCGGGGTAGGGAGGAGTGAAGGGAGGAGGCCAGAATGGAAACACACGCGGAGCCATGGTAACCTGGTAACCAGGTCCCTCCTCACGAGCCCCAGTGGTGAGGTGGGGTGGCACCCACCCGGCTCGTCGGTGCCATCAGCGCAGTCACAGAAGTCGTCGTTCACCCGCTGCACCGCCACTGACCGCGACCCGTCGCGGCACCGCACCTCGCTGCCCGAGAAGTACGCCACGTCTGCCGCGCGTGACGCGCGTGAGGCGTGGCGCATGCGAGGCGGGGCGCGGCAAGGCGGATGGGCGCAGGGCAGGCGGACATGGAGAGGGAGGGAAAGGGCAGAAGCGGGGGGGGGGTGGGGAGTGGGGAGAGATGAGCGGGTGGAAAGGGTGGGGGTAAGGGAGGCGAGCGACCGGCGGGAACAGCGCCGGGCGGCTGACGCCGCGATTCGCCTCTCCACTCCATGCGATCCCCACTCCGTGCGATCCCCACTCCGTGCGATCCCCACTCATTCCGCCGCTTCGCTGTCGCTGCGGGCTAAACGGCTAAGTGGCTACACGGGTCTCGGCGCGCAGTGGGCGCGCGGACAGATGCGCGCGACGCAAGCTGCAGCGACATTCACGTTCAATTACGCCCGCGCTCGCGCGCCCGCTCGCTCGTGCGCGCTCGTGCGGGCGGGACGGCAGCGTGCGCTGGACTTGTGAGTCATCTTGGACCATGACCGCAGCGCCATGGACTTGCCTTGAGGGGCGACGCCGCGAATTGACGGAGGAGCGGCCGCGAGCGAGCCGATTGCGAACAACACCAATGCGACGACTGCGATCGCGAGTGCTTGCGGGAAGCAGGCGAGCGACCTTGGCGATGCGCGAAGCAGTGCCATCGGGAACAATGTGAACAGCACCGCCGCGAATTGTGGCGGTCAGTATAAGTCTTGAAATTGAGATAGAGGTGACAATCTGGTCGTGCTGACCAGTCTGGCTGGCCTGCGCAGCTCTCAGAGCGCTGGGATCATGGATAAAAGCTCGCAGAGCAGAGCAGAAGCTGTTTGCGGGGAACAGACCAGATGGCGGTGGATGTGGTGGAAGCGGAATCGTCACCCAAACTACACCATACTCAGTATCGCGTACAGAAATATTCATCTGCACCTTTTGTTATGAGTTGTGAAAGAAGAGTATGTACAGAATGCAATAACACGGAAGTGAGTACAACTAGCACAGATATAGCGAAAGGCTAGCTAGGTGGGGTCCGCGAAATAGCGACGGTTGGGTGCTCGTTCCGGGTTGTCAAACCCAAAGGCGACGTGAGGGACTTTGGCGAGGTGGTCGGACCGAGCCTTATCTTTTGAAAGTTATGATGTACGCGACCCAAGAAGTAATTAGGAAAAAACTCCTTGCATTACCCCCTCTTTTAAGAAGGTGGTCAATATCGGGCACGTGGCGGCAAGAGAGATAGACACGTGACGCACGTGTCATCTTTGCCCGCCCCAATCTCGCGCCAAGTGTTCGTGGCCGAACATTTGGCGCGAGATTGGGGCGGGCAATATCGGACGACTCAGGTGAGACGAAATGTCAGAGGAGATTGGCGAGGAATGCATCGTAGATTCGCCAGTCATGCGACAGCAGCATGGTGTGAAAGGTGTCAGCATCTTAACGAAGCGAAAAGGTCCCACGAATCTGGGACGGAGCTTCGCTGGCTGGGGCAACCGGAGGTTTTTCGTATACAAAAGGACCAGTTGCCATGCATTAAAGGGAAATTCTCTTCCGTGTTTATTAGCGTTGTGGCTGGCGACGGTATTCGCCTTGCAAATAAACTCGAATGCTTTGTCGCGGTAACTTGAAGTTTTGTGACAAACTGCTGAGAGCACAGTATCGGGTTTTAAGGTGTTGTTGACGAGGGTACCACTGAATCTGCCACGTAATCGATGTAAAATTGGGATTGATTGGTCGTTGCCGAAGTTGCGTTGTTATACGGAAAATTTAGCATCGCGATTGAGTCTTCCTACCTGGACATTTTGGGGCAGTTGGTGCGGATCAGCGGTGTGATTTGTCAGTTCTGTTTGGCCGTTGCTTTGCGGGTGGTATGACAACAAAAATTGCTGGCGGGTGCCATTTTGTACCCACATCTCTTGCCAGAACTTCGACAATTTCGGTTCTCGATCGCTGATGATCACCGAAGGTCACCCCTGAAGGCGAACAACGGTGGAGATGATCGTCATGCCGCATGGCGCGAGATGTGCCATTTTCTTAAGCGGTCAACGACGACCAGTCCCATAAGGAAATCTATTGTTACTTGTTGCCACGACCATTCTCTGAGTCGTCTGCAATGATTGACCGTGTGGATTAGATGCTGGAAATGCAGTTCAAGTGCTCGGAGATGGGAGATGTGAACTACTACCTTGGGATGCATGTGGAGAGGGACCTTGACAAGGGAATGTTGAGGTTGCACCAGAGGAAGTACTGTGAGGGGCTGGCGGAGAAGTATGGGCTGCATGATGGAGGAAAGCCAGCTACCCCACTGCCTTCGGGGTTCACTGCGAAGCCCTGTGCTGATGAGGAGGTGGTGGGTGAAAGTGACGGGAAGCTGTTTCATTCCATGGTTGGGCACTCAACTATGCGGCAAACCACGCGTGGCCGGACATAGCCTTTGCTACATCCACACTTGCAAGTGTGGTCTCACGCCCCAGTCATGAGCAGATGGAAGCGGCCAAGAGGTTGGTCCACTATGTGAGTGTCAGTAGAGCTACATTGTGAGATCCCCGATCGATCCTAGGGGGGGTTACAGGCGCGTTTGCCTGGGGGGTTATGGGCGCAATGACCCGCTACTGAAACAAGCCCTTTTATCCCAATGGTATAGTGGTTGGGATTCTGACATGGTATCAGAGCGGTCTCGGGTTCGAATCCCGGTGTATGCACATGTTGGCCGTTGCCACTGTGCTCAGTCCTGGGCCTCCCAGTGTGGGGGGGTGTCAGTAGAGCTACACTGTGAGATCCCCGATCGATCCTAGGGGGGGTTACAGGCGCGTTTGCCTGGGGGGTTATGGGCGCACTGACCCGCTACTGAAACAAGCCCTTTTATCCCAATGGTCTAGTGGTTGGGATTCTGACAGTGAGTGCTACAGCATCAGTGGGCTTGGAGTACAGTGCTGTGCAACAGAGGCTGCAATGAGGTGCAGATGATCTGGGCAAGGGGGACATGCTCTTGACTTGCTACACCGACGCTAGCTTCAACTCTGTAAAGGCGGATGGCACCAGTATTGGAGGCTATGTGTGCCTGTTCGGAGGTGGTGCAGTGAGCTAGAGCAGCACGAAGCAGAATGAGGTGGGGCTGTCCTCATGCGAAATTGAGTACATAGCCTTGCATCATGGGGCCAAAGAGGTGGTGTGGCTGAGACGTTTGTTGGAGGAGATCGCAGTTGGTCAGAAGAAGCCGACTATGATGTTCTGTAACAATGAGTCGGCAGTGAATTTAGCCAAGAATGCTTGTCTTCATGGGCTGACAAAGCACATCAGGCCCAAGTGGCACTGGGTGAGGAGGCTCCCGGAGAAGTGGCATTGGGTGAGGAGGCTCTTGGACAAGAGGTGTGGCTGGAGATAGTGAAGACCCATCAGCAGGCGGCTGACATTCTCACCAAGCGCCTGGCTGAACCTGAGCATTGGAAGGGCATAAAGCTTGCTGGAATGAGTGTGCATTGAGGGTGCATGCTTGAGCTATGGCATGTGCGATAATGGTAGGCAGCCCAAGGGGGAGTTTTTTATGTGATGCTATCATTTGCATTCACGTCTGTCTGCCTCCCATCATATTTTCGTGCGTTGCATGCGTGGTGTGAGCGTGTGCAAGAATTTGTATTCGGTGTGGTTTGGATTCTCTGAGTGTGTGTAATTTTTATTCTGCTTGAGCAGTTATCCTAAATGACTCCTCTGCTCAAGAGCTTTCTGACGAACCAAGAATCGACGTAATCGGAGCAAGAACGAGAAAGATATGATCGTTCGAAGTTTTGATTGAGATGCGGCGACTACGGGAATTTGTGGCATCACTCAATATGGGGTATAGACTTTCGGAGGTTGGAAAATTCGTCACTACTACTGTAGTTGCTACCAAATGGTTGGGAGAAGCCAAACCAGGTTGACAGGTGTGGCCAAGTTAGGTGAGGTGGATGGCATGGGTTGGGAAAGTGACAAATGTCAAAGTTGGAGTGCCTATAGGGAGGGAATTGTGTAACTATAAGGTTTTCTTGGTTGGGGACAACTTGAGGACCTTCCTTCTTGTCCTCCTCATCTCTACCTGCCTGGTTTCAATCTACTATGACTTACTTGTGTGGTACTTGTGAGATAATTGTGATTGAGTTAAGTTTCTATGGCAGCATACCCCCTAGTGCGCCGAACATGATAGCTCGAGTTATACTTCATCGTTTAATACGATTCAAAATGGGAAAGATATGCTACAACATAATCGGGTTTGAGAACATTCTAACGGTGAACTTTTCGTAGACAACATTTCTTGTGAAGTCGACGATTCTATCCAGAATTATAGTCCAACAATTTTGAGATATTTTGGCCCCTAATCTTCATAGACCCCGTCCTTAGTCTCTAACATTACTGTCCTCTGTCTATCGAGGGTGAGCTTGCCCTTGCCTGTGACGTCCTTGAGGATAGACAGCTTGAGCTCGAGTGCCTCGCGACTGCTGTATCACATATCGCTGCCATGTTGCTTGCCCCTGAGGGAGACCCGGATGCACTGGACATCCAGACCCCGCGCTCTTACGCAGTGGCGATCACGGGTCAATACTCCTCTTAGTGGCAGACAGACATGGATGTAGAGATGGTATCCTGGAAGTCCACAGGCACCTACACCGATCTAGCTCCCCCTCTTAGAATAAACATAGATGATGAGATGTTCATTTTCAAGTTGAAGGTGCCGCCGGGTTCCCCGCCTGTCTTCAAGGCACGTTACGTTGCACGAGGCTTCAGTCAGTGTCAGGGGGTCGACTACTTCCAGACCTTCTCCCCCACCCCAAAGATGACCACTCCTTGGGTGTTACTGCACGTTACAGCACAGCGTGACTATGAGCTGCACTCGCTTGACTTCTCCATATCTTGTAGGGCAGCCTCCACGAAGAGATCTAGCTGCGCCTTCTACTTGGCTTCACAAGGTCGTTTCCTAAGGGTACCAAGTGTAGGCTCCAACGGCTAGTCTATGGTCTCCGCCAGGCGCCTCGCGAGTGGCAGGACACACCAGAGACGACACTTGCGGCTCTTGGCTTCGCTCCTACAACTG